GTGACCTCAGGCAAGTTCTCTAACCGCCTTTTGTCTCTGTTTCCTCATTTATAAAATGGGGCAATCTTACTACAAACTTGGCGAGAAGGCTATTTGAATTAACTTATGTAAAATACTTAGACCAAGGCCTGACACAGAGTAGGCCCTCAAAAGTGTCAGGGGAATTTCCAAGCTTAGAGGATCTGGGCATTCATAAAAAAAAAAAAAAACAAAAAAAAAACCCCCTAATATTTACCAGCCCTTTCTTCTCCAAGTCTAGTTTACAAAGCTCTCCTGCTCCGCTAAGTGCTTGCTGTGCTTGTGTGCGAGATGAGGGCCTGCTCAGGGCCCAGAGAGGGGTAGACCTCCAGTCCCGGTCATGCAGGAGCAGTGGCCAGTCTAGTCCAGGCCAGGCCTCCTGCCTTCTAGCCTGTTCATCCTTAGCGCCTCCCCAGTTTCCAGGCCCTACTGGCCTGCCCTCTGACCCCGGCCCCCTGGGAGCCTGATCCCAGGCCCGTGGGGTCTGCAAGTCTGGTCTGGATTAGATACGCTGAGAAGCAAACGCTGCCCCCCCTCCCTCAGCAGGCTGCCTGGCAGGACCCAGGCTCACAGCTGCTGGGGCTCACAGGGACATAAATCACGGTGGCAGGAGGCTTGGGGGCTGGGACCACCTTAGGCTCCCGAGGGGGGCAGCGTCCACCTTCCTGAGAGTCTAGGGCAGGGCTGTCTGGTTCCACCAGGAATATTCTCCATTCTGTGTTGACATATTAGAGGCAAGAGCAGGCCAGAGGGAACCAGGAGACCATTTGGCACCTCTCAGGTTCTAGCAGGCCAAAATCCCAGCTCCATTTGAATTTTCATTCTGCCACCATTTCCAAGCACACTGACAAAGGTGGTACAGAGCTTTACCTAGATTCACCAAAGGTTGGCTTTTCCCATATTTGCTTTATCCTTCTCTTGCTCACATAGTATTTTTTTCTTCTGAGCCATTTGAGAATATGTCACCTATATCACATTCTTGAACCCCTGAGTAATACTTGAGGGTGTCTTTCTTAAACACAAGGATATCCTCTTATATAACCTAACTGTTAGTAAATTCAGAAAATGTAACATTGCTATACTTTTATCTATTGTTCCTATTCCAATTTTGTCAGCTGTCCAATGATATCCTCTATAGCATTTCCCCCTGGACATGTATTTAGTCATGTAGCTAAGCTTTTTAAGATGCAAAACATGCAGTAACAAGAGATGCAGATAAGGTTGTCCAACTTTACATGTATATCCTGCAAACTGATGTTTTTAAAAAGTCTTCCAATGTTTCCACGATTATGCATCAGCTTGTGACCATTTATAGGTGCTTGCCTTGCTACTTAAAGCTTTCAGAGTTGTGTGTTTTTATCTTTTAACTTAATAGGAACCTCATAAAATGGAAGTGGTATGGGTCAATGAGGGGCTTAAGTGGTAGAGGAGCCCTGGGCTGAGGGAGTCCCTGCACCTCAACCCCACTCAGCTGCACACACATGGCCCATCACTGTCCCTCCCTGGGTCTCAGTTTCTCCATTGCCATGGGCAACCTTGAGGCTTCCTACTCGAAAGTGTGGCATTAAAGATCCACATGGAATGGCCAGGAGGGAGGCCTGGGTTCCTGGCAGCCTAATAGGGCTAGGGACTCACTGGCAGTTTGTCTCATGTTATTGACTCAGTCTCCTCATCGTGAAACAAGGACTCAGGGACCACAGTGACTGGTGGTCCTTGGGTCTAGGAAGGTTTAAGTTTAGAATGCAACCTCAACTTAAGCCTCCCCTTCAGTGTCCTAGGTGACATGGTTGAGCTGGACTCTCCTCAGGCCTGGGTTTTTCCTCCCTAAGCTCCTTTATTCTTCTGTCTCATGTTGGTCCTCTCTGGGAAAGTCTGAAGAAGCCTGGCTGAGTTGGTAGAAAGTGTGGTAGGAAGTGTGTGTTGGAAGAGGAAAGCAAATGGCCCCTCAGAGTACTAGTTCACAGTTGTGCCTCTCCCAAGTCACATGGGTTGGGTTGATCTGGCAACTCAGAAAGGCTATTAACTCATTGGCTATTAGCTCATAGCTATTAACTGTCCATCACCCAAGAAAGTTTCCAAAAAGGCAGCAAGATGCAAAATGTGTGGAATGGAGTACTATGCAGCTATAGAAAAGTACGCACTTGCTCTGAACATGGAAGGGTCTCCAAGATAGTTTGTTAAAGACAAAAATAATCTAAGTGCAAAACAGGGTGTAAAATGCAAATGATGTGTGGAAAAATAATTTACAGTAAGTGCTCATTAAAATCCTCAATGGGGTCTTAGAACTGCTGCTTGAAGCCAAATGGCATGTAATAAAACCAGGTTCTGGTACAGCCTTTGTCCTTGGTAGGGATTATTTTATTTCTTACCAATGAAATGAGCTGGATGAGTTGAGGACCTGCTGTATATTTGACCTTGCTGTTTATGGTAAGATTCCCTGCAGGGGTCTATATACAAGCCCCTGGTTGATGGTAATCGCCAGTAGGAGCTGGGAGGGAAGGAGAATTATTGTCCGTGTATTCTCTTTGGTTTGTGAGCTGTTTAAAAACATCAATTTCAGAGGAAATACAATAGGAAGACCCCAATGTGAGCAGGAGGGCACTTGGTGTCCCCAGGATGCAGCTAATGGCATTTCTTGATCTCCATGCCGGGTCCACAAGTGTGCTATCGGTGAAACCCAAGAGCGGTAACACTTCCTGGCACATGAACTGCGTGTGAAGACTTCCGTAGAAAGTTGAACCAAGCCCACTGCAAATGATTGTTCAAGTGTATGTGTCAGTGTGTGTTTTGGAAAATGCCACATACTTACAGTTTTAGCTGTGGTTATCTTTGGGATGGGCGATATTTCTAGGGATATATCTAGTGATATTTCAGTTTTTCACAGTGAAAACATAAGCAGAGAAAGCTATAAATACTCTTTCAGAAATCATAATCAGGACAGTGCACTTCTGGAAGGACACACAGGAAGCTGCGAACATAACTGCCTGGGGGAGGGACCTGTAGTATTCTCACTGCATATTAGTCCCTACAGCATCAGTTATTTACTTAGTGCAAAAGTGGTCTGCTAAGAACCCATCATGGAGGCAAAACAATGATCCTCATGCCCCTGTTCTTGCTGAGAGGCCCAGAGGGTTAGGTAATTTCTTGGAGGAGGTGGGGCGGGAGGAAGTCACCCAGCAAATCTGCTGGCAGAGGTGGGCCTCCAGCCCAGAGCACCCAAAGTCTGCTGTCCCCACTCCCAAGTTTCCTGCCATTGACGATGTCACGGTCCTCTTCCTGTGGCTTTGCCAGGGGCCGCCTGGGCCTGGGGAGGTGCAGGGAGCACAATGTGCTTTCTTAATTAGCATCCCAAGGGGGAAGCGGCACTGTACTGGGACAGGCAAGGCAGTGCCCCTGGAATCCTGGGGGCTTGGACAGCTCTCCTGTCTGCTGGACAGGGCCAGAGCTGCCCCTCCTCCCTCTCCAAGGCCCATCGTCCAAGTCTCACACAGAGGGGTGCAAACAGGGAGCTTTCTTACCCCCCTCCAGCCTGGGCTGGATATCACAGGACTCAGTGGTTTTCCCTGGGCCTGGGTGCCCATCTGTGAGGTGGACGTGTGGGTCTCGCCCTGTGTACCCGGCAGACTGGGTGCTTAGTAACGTGGTTGGCAGAATGGGCAGAGGCACTTCAGGCTGGCAGAGGGTCAAGTGCAGGGAGAGGCGGAGCGAGCTGGACAGCAGCGTGGGCTCTGAAGCCGTTTCAGTCAGTCAAGCGTTTGGTAAATAGATGATGTTGTCAGAAGGAATATGAAAACCTGGGTGAGGAAAGGGCAGGTGCCTTATTTGAAGGCTTACTGGGTCGCTCCCACCTGCCCTCCCTCAGCCTCTGGGATCCTGAATCCTGGCCTCACAGGGACAGGGCCCCAGCAGGAGCCTCATCCCCTGCCTCCGCTGCCAGCAGCTTCTTGTTACCTCAGATGGATCTGTGAAATGAGTAAACACCAGCCCACACCTGCCAGAGCTTCTGGGGAGTAAGAGGGCACCCCATCTCGGGCCTCTCAGGGGAAGGGTTAGGAGCTGGTTTTGGGCATTAAGGGTACACAGCTCTCACACTGTCTACCTCATCTGTGTGACTTTTGACGTCATCCTTCCTCCCCATCACTTCAGCTAAAACAGGGATAAGAACATCCTGTTTGCATATGCTCACCTGCCTGTGTGGGAACACTGCTGCTTGGGAACACAGGGGAAGGCATCAGGTAGAGAATGGCACATTCATGACGTGCAACACGCAGCTAAACGCGCGGGCCTTTGTGCCCGACTTGGGATCAGAGCCAAGCAAGATGAAAAAAAGATGCAAGAAAAAAGAATGCAAGAGGAGTGCAGGTGTAACATGCTTCTGTTTGTGTAAAGACTGGATTAAGACGTGCACATCTGTATTTATATATGCTTATCGTTCATCATTCATATTGTTTAAGCATATATTAAATTGATATATTTTAATGTTTGCTATTAATATAAATTATTTTGTAGTATGTATTTGAGTCAGTACATATTTGCCTGTATTTGCTGGTCAGTCATCGGAAATGGGGCTGTTGCAAAAAGCTGGCGGCTGGGGCTGCCTGCTGTTGGGGAGCACACGACCGGGTGCGGCTTCCCTCACTGTGTGAGTGGATACATTGATCGTGAATAAAATTAAGATTCCTTACCAACCACAGTGGACCTAGCAGTTGTTCTGGAAGACAAGAAAGAAAGTTTGGGCGTCTCTACTTTTGGCAAGGGTCTCCCAGCTTCCCCCAGCCTGATCCCGGCCAGGCCATGAGCAGCACCTGTAACATCTGTGCCTCTTCCAAGGGCCAGGAGAGAGGTAATTTTTGACTTCTGACTCCCCAGGTCCTTCCCTTCTGCAGCTGGGAACGTCTTTTATTTAAAAATATCTTTTATTTTAAACCCACCAATTCTCTCTCTCTCTCTCTCACACACACACACACACTCTGACACACAGGCATGCACACATTCTCTGTCACCAATAGTCTTTGTTTTTCCAAAAGTTCTGCCCAATCTCTGACCAGCCAGGGTTGGGGCCTGCTGGATGAGTCCTCACAGCTCCTCAGCGTGGGGTGGAGCTGTCCCAAAGGGCCTGCCCAGAAGGTCATGGGCCCAGGTCATTGTCCTCCGGTCCCCACACAAAAGAGGACTGGGTGGAGCTCTTGGGGTCTTTGCTGGCCGCTGGCTTCCTTCTCCAGGGTCCTGCTTGGAGCAAGTGGCACAGGGGTCCAGGTTCATCTCCTTGACATTCGTAGGGGGGTCACCCCCCTCACCTTCAAGCAGCTGCCCCCAAGGTCACGACGGCCACCCTGCAGGAAGGGAAAAAGCAGTATTGGTACATTTGGTCACATCACCAAGAACACTGAAACTAAACCTCACTGTCCAGTCTTGAAGGCTTGCTATAAAAGCCACAGTCACATGAGAAAGTCTGTGCAGTAGAAGGGAGAAGAAACTGTGTGGACGGATGGGGACGGAGTGGAGATAACATCGTTCAAGGACAAAACAAAGTGCAGAAGTGAGTGTCCAGCTTGTGAGGGGTCTGGAGAGAAGAGCACACTGAACCTGGCATGGGCTTCCTCTTGAGCAGAGGGAGTTGATGATCAGCACACAGGATGGGAGCGAGATTTTTAAATTCCTTTTTTTTTTTAAATTTATTTATGCTTGCAAGAGCTTGGGTAGAGGCCAGGGAGTGGGAAGGAGTGATGATCCGCCAGAGACAGAGCAGGGAGCAGAACAGGTGGATCTACTGAAATACACTGCTGAGAGGAGAGAGGGGAGACCAGAGAGGTCTGCTGTGCCATGTGGGTCAGCTCCCTGGCCGGGGATCACACTCATGTTGCAGTGAGTGCTGCAACTGCTTCATAGTGCTTTCATAGTGCTGAAACTTAAACCCTTGCATCACCAGGGAGGCCTGATTTTTAAAATTCTTTATACTTTTGCATCTTTTTTGTTTCCCTCCTTTTTTTTTTTTTTTTTTGGCTTAAAAAAATCCAATACAGGCCCCTCCCTGGTGGCGCAGCGGGTTAAAGCACTGCACTAAGAAGCTTAAACCACTTCCACATGAGTTCAATTCCCTCCTGCCCCGGAGGTGGTGACCACATGGCGTGGAAGACCTCTCCTGACCCGCCCGCTGCTCCCCTCAGCAGTGGACTTCGTCGATCTGCCTGTTCTGCTCCCCACTCTGTCTCTGCTGAAGCCTCTCACCACCCCTGAGCCTCTGGCCTGTACCCTAGTTCTGCATGAATAAATAAATCTTAAAAAAAAAAATCCAATACATTTGGAATCATAATATTTATGCGTAGGGCAAAACAACCCTGCAGTTCTTCCCCACTGACCACCTGTATGTCCAATGATTAGTCACTGACCTCAAAAAGACTGGATTGCTGGCCTCCCTGCCTTCATTCAGGGTGTAGGAAGGAACATATTCTCTCTGGCCCCATCTCCCTGCAATGGTCTAGCACTCCTCCCTTCCTGGAGATATTCCATCAGGATAAAGCTGAGATTCTTTACTGTGTGGCTGTGACTTATTTGTCAGAAAGGGAAGATTATGCCCCTCTCTTGTGCCCCCCTAGACTGGGAGCTCAGGCCACTCTGTGGCCTCAATTTCAGCCCAGATACTCGCATGGAGCAGGTGCCAGCCAGTGCTGGAGTCAGTGGTGAATTAGAGCTAATGGTGGTGGCACCTGAAGCCATCTGTCCTGCAGCTTGCAGAGATGTCTCTCTCCAGTACTCCTGAGCGCTGACATGTGCGTTTGGCCCTCAATATCACCCATTAACTTCACAGATTTTGGAGCACCCCACCTTTTGAGGGCAGTCATTGAACGTCTGGACGAGAGGCACCCCAGCCTGTTAAAGTGCCTGGTAAAAGGCTTGGAGTCCATGGTGTCCAACAGTCTGTCCTGTTCTAGGTTGCAGCAGTATCTGAACTCCCACCGTAAGTGCTCAGCCCCCAAGCCTGGCAGGAGACGATGGAACAGGCATGTCCCCAGCCCTCTAGAGAAACAGTGACCGTCTGGGAGCTCTGCCCTGTCTCCCTCTGCTCCTGGGCCCAGGTCGGGGCAGATCCATCCAGATGTGAGTCCAGTCTCCCTGGAGGCTCTCCGGGCCAAGGGACAGTGTGTTCATTCACAGGCAGGGCTATTTTGAGGGCTGAGGCCACAGTCCCAGCAGAGCCTGGGTCTTGGGCTTCTCAGGCAAACTCTGGCAGGAGTGACTGAGAAGGGCAGATGGGGGAGGAGGAGGGGAGCACTGTTGAGGGTGAGGGCTAGAAAGCGACCTTCTACCTTTTCACTCTCATTCGTCAGGGACAAGAAGAGCCACCTCCACCCCAAGTCTGGGGTCAGGCGGGGACCTGGGTTCCATGAGAATGCTGTTCACCGACATGCATCTCAGTTTCTTCATCTATGAAATGGGGACAAATGATTCCACTTGCTACCCTAGGGAGCAATCGATTGCAAACCCAGCTGCGAGAGAGATTTGTCAAGTGCCAAAAAACACTTAGAAGAGGCCCTGTTAAGCCCCAGCTCCGCTGTCCCTTAGGAACTCAGCACCGAGGGCTCTGGGAAGCACCGAGTTAGGAGGTAGGCACCAGCGGCAAGTCAGAGCTGGGCTGCTCGCCTTGGACTACTGCCTAAACCCAGGCAAGTGACTTCACCTCATGCAGCCTATTTCCACCCAGTGCAAGGAGGAGTTACCATGCAGATGGCAGCATGAACACAGGTAAAGCCTTGCCAAAGGTCAGAGTAAGAGTAAGAGCTCAATGAATGTTCACCAGTATCGGATTAGTATCATCTGGCGAGGGCTCCTCACCGGTGCTCCTCACCTCTCTGCCCCTCCTGCTTCTAAGAGGGGCGCAGCAACTGGTCAGGGCCTTACAAGACAGTCCTCTTTGACCCTCACAAACCCCGTTTCCATCTCCCACTCATGAGTCCTACCACACAGGGCCACACCTAACCCTCCTTAAACAGGACGATGATACAGGGAGCTATTTCCTTGGTGACCCCAACACCAGACCAGCCAGGGAGGGAGGTGGTGGCCCGGAGAGAAGGGGTCGGTTCTGGGGTTTTGGTGCTGGCTGGCCTCCACTGCGCCAACTCTGAGCCCTCCGGGGGCTCTCCAAGTCAGCATCATCCTCCAGAATTGGCCAGCATCACTCCTTTCGCCTGTCCCTAGAGGAACCTGTGGGGTGGAGAACATGGCTTCTGCAGCCAAATTTGGCTGGGCGCTTGGTCCCAAAAACAGATCCCAGGGAAGCAGCCAGACCGGCGTGGCCCGTGAGCTGTGGGTCCGACTGCAGGCCAGCAGAGGAGCCCTCGCCCGCTGCGCAGTGGGCAGTGACCGCCCACCCTTCTACAGTAACCTCGCCCACCTCCCGATCAGGCAGGCTTGAGTTCAAATCCTGACACTATCAGGGGCTGGGTGTCTCTGAACCAGTGACAGATGTCAAAGCGGGTGTCGATAACTTTCTGGCGGCGGGGGGATTTTCCTGACAATGTGGAGGAGAGGGTTGTGCTCCGCTGGTGGGTGCGCATGAAGACGCTGCGGTGCCTGTCACTGGCCTGTCTTCATCCCTCTGGGTGCCACTACCTTTAATGTCTCCCGTTTTCCTTCTCTAAGTCATATTTTCTGGCCTTAACTCTTGCTGTGTTCTGTTCCTGGACTGGCCTTCCCAGTCCCACATCTGTGGGCCTCTGTTCCGAGCAATCATCAGAAATTTAGTCCTGGGCTTGGGGAGTTTTCCTCTGGGTCCCAACAGTCCCCTGGTGCTCCCTCTCCCCCTCTTCAGACACCCACACACCCTCGCCTTCATTGCTCTGAACTGCCCCAAAGCTGGCAGATGGGATCCACAACCTGCTTTGGGGAATGTTCTCAGAGTTGTCAAAAATGCAGCTGCTGGGTGAAGTTTGGTGAACTGGTTAGTGGGTAAAAGGCAGTTGGGGAGAACCACCAAGACCCTGTTAGCCTTCACGCCCCAGGAAGGATGCCCGAAGGCCCACGCCAACTTCCCTGGCCAGGCTGGAGTACTGACCAGGGCCCACGAGGCTGCCCTCAAGAGCAGGGAATCTTGAGAGTACAAGGCCAAAACTAAGGAGGGCTCAGGAAAGCACAGCAGCCATGAGGGTGAGAGGTCACTCAGGTCAGGAGTCTCACGAGCTGGAAGGGGGTGATCTGAAGCCTGGATACAGGTTTCCCCATGAGAGAGTGAGGCAGGGACCTCAGGCAGCCATAAGAATCAAAGCCCAGGGAGCTCTGAGGCCTAACTGCAAACCCCAGGTTCTTTCAGTTTCTAAAAGGATGCAGGCCTGTCAGGGACTTGCTCAGGCTCAGTTTCCCCATATGAAAATGGTAGCTGCTGGAATCCAGAGCTGTCACAAAGACAAGCTTCCTTACTGTAGGAAAAGCCCAGAACAGACAATGACAGGCAGGGAGGGGAAGAGCAGGTTCTCTGAGCCTAGGGCGGGAGGAGAACCAGCTTCCATCCAGGAGAGGCCCCCTCCCCACAACCTCAGCAGCTTCCAGCTCCATCCATGCACCTCTAGCCAGGTGGTTTCCTCACCTAGGAGGCGACACAGGCGTGAACTTCAGCTCTGCCCAGCTGACTCAACAGTGCCCCCCAACACTCCATCTTTCTTGGGCCCAGCGCCCTCAGGGGCCCCTTCCCGCCTTCATCCACTGTGCTCTTGAGCCGGCCCCTTGGCTGTGGTTGGGAGGGTACATCATCTTTTCTTCTCATCATCCCATTCTTGGGTCAGATCTAAGGTGGGGGAAGACTATTCTATAGTAAGGTAACTCCAGGCAGCACAAACTGAGCACTCTCTGCACTCTGGCTCAGGGGAGTGACGGTGGGCATGTGATCACACCTTTGCCACCTCAGAGGGCATCAGTAATAAAACGGGCAGAAAGACTGCCCACCTGCTCTGCTTCTTAGGAAGGTAAAAAGAACGAGGCCGAGCTCAAGACTTGATGGCCTCTGTTATCACCTCCTTTGAGCCCTCTTCTCCAGGCCCCCTCGGTTGGAGGGGGTGTCCCTCTGATCTACCCTGCAAATCATGCCTGAGCTCTGGGCTCTCCTAACTTCTACCGTGGGGGGATTAAGCAAGTGGGTCTGCACCACACCAAACCCTGGGCTTGGAGCACCTCCGACTAGCTACCCCGACGCCTCCGCCTGTCTTCACCGCGATCCCTGCCTCTGCCTCGGATCCTGCCTCTCTGTTTTGCATCCGGATAGGCCCCGGCCCCAGCCATCTCCGGCCCCAGGCTGCAGCGCTGGTGCGCGCACACTCACCCCCTTGCGCTGGTTGCTGAGGCAGAAGGTGCAGATGGAGCGCGGCTGGCGGCCGCCGTCGGGGGTGGCAGGAGCCGCGCTCTTGGCACTGCCCGCCGCACGGAAGCAAGGCTGGCCGTCCTCCGCCGCGTCGCCCAGCAGCAGCACGTTGGCCAGGTGTGCGATGTAGCTGGACGCCAGGCGCAGCGTCTCGATCTTGGACAGCTTGCGGTCCACCGGCTCGGTGGGGATGAGCGTGCGCAGCGCCGTGAAGGCCGTGTTCACGCTCTGCGTGCGGTCCCGCTCCCGCGCGTTGGCCGCCTGCCGCTGTCTCACCACCACCACCGGGCCGGCGCCGCCGCCCGCCCGCCGCCCGCCCCCGGGACCCGGGCCGCGCCGCGCCGCCTCCAGGCCCTCGCAGCAGCCGAACGACTGGTCGGACGCGTCGCTCTCGCTTCGGTTCTCCTCGTCCTCGCTCAGCAGCCTCACGTCCGGGTACAGCACGTGCGCACCGACGGGGCGCAGCAGCGCGAACGCCATGGGCGCCTGGCCGCGTCCCCCAGTGCGCCGCGTCCCTGCGTTTACCGCGCCCAGCACCGCGCTCCCGCGCGCTCCCACGGCCCCACCGGCCGCCGCCTTATAGCCGAAGGAGGGGCCAATCGCGGGGCCGCCCCTGGCGGGGCGGGGGGCTCCGCCCTGGCCAATCGGGAGGCGACCTCCGCGTCCCGACCAATGGCGACGCGCCCACCGCCCTCCCTGCCCCAGGTTGAAAGCGGCCCGCGAGCTGGTGCCCCGCCCCGAAGTCCCGACGGGCGAGTCGGGCGCTTGTTGGGGCTCTGGACCCGGAGGGTGGGGTGTACGAAAATTCTAACCGAAATTCTAGCCCTCCACCTAGAGCCTCAAGGAGACTGGGATCGGGTCCCCTCTCCAGGCTCCCAGTTTTCTTGTTCTGAAAGAGGATGCTGGGGAACTAGCTCAGTGTTTTACTTTTTACTCTTAAATTGTAATTCTGTAGCTCTGCAGCTTTCGTTTGTGTGAGAATTGGGGAGCAGGGCTTTTGCTTTTGATTCCCGGCGTCCCTTATGCGAATTGCGAAATCCAGAAGGGTGCCCAGTACTCTTCGTGATGCACAGGAGGGTGGTGTCTGTGCCGACCGTGTCGAGAGAGACAGTCTTTCCAAATAAGGATTCGACGGTGTCACATCCCCCACGACAGACGCTTGAAAGCAAAACAAAAACAAAACAGAAACTGCAGTACATCCCTTTATGTATTCAATAAGTGTTGGTCAGATGCCCTACGATGTGCCAGGCATGGTTTTGATCTGAGGTTGGAGACTTGAACAAAACAACCTTTCTGCCCTCACAGCGCTGGCATTTTGCTTGAGGTCCTACTATGTGCTGGACACATACTGAATTCTGCTGATCTTTACTGCTCCCCGTTGAAGTTGTGGGGGGAGTGTCCCTGACTTACAGATAAGAGAGCTTTGGCCTTCAGTCTTCCCTGCAGGGAGTGGGGGCACTAGCCCCAGACTGTTTGGCTTCACTATCACCCCCTTTCCAACACCTTCATTTCCCACCCCCAGTTTCTCTCCCTCACTCCCCACAATGTCACCCTGGACTGCTGCGACCTCTAAATCTATGTCTCACTCTCCACCCTTTCTGCTTAGAATGCCACCCCTAACACACACACACACACACACTGTCTTTCCTCAATCTCTTCCTTCCTTCAGGAAACCTTAGATTCAGGAAACTCCTCAGAGGCCCTGGGAAGAATTATTGCGCTGATGACGGCTGCAGGCATCCAGTGCTGCTCATGCCCCTTCCCAGCTCCATCCTGAGGACTGGCTAAGCCTTCATCCACTTGGCCTTGACAATAACTTTCTCTTCAGCCCAAGTGGCAGCCCGTGTGATACAGAAAGCACAGGAAGTGGGGTTCAAATTTTTCTAGGTTCATTTTGGCTCCATCTCTTTTTTCTGGAAGATGCCTCCCAGTTCTGCCATCCTGATCCAGGACCCACTGGGCGCCTGGAGGCATTTCTCTGGGCTGGCTGCAGGAAGTACAGCCTCTTAAGCCTTCGGGGCCCAGGGCCTGCAGGCGAGAGTCTGCTCTCACACCTGGCGCCTTCCCACCCCCATCTCCACCGTTTGACCGTGACCCCAGCCAGACTGGGCTTTGGGGAGGAGGAGAAATAGCCTGCATGGCCCCCTCCCCACAGGCCAGTCCCACACGCAGCCCCAGGCCAGGCTGCTGCTTCCTGAGCTGATGAATTATTACCGGGAGATTTCCTTCCCTGTCTGCGCCTCCTCACAGGGGCTCCTGGCTCCCCTTCACTTTCACTTTCTCCCCCTTCTCCCCCTCTCTGCTGCTCTCAATCCTCAGGAAGCTTGAAATTCCTCTGTCCAGCCCCCTCCCCATCCTGGCTTGACCCAGAGAAGCAAAACAGGGTGTGAACTGGGCCCGGAAGGCCAGAGGGGCCTTACTTGGTAAACTCATTCATTCATTCACAGCTCAGACAGGTTTTGACACAGGGGACCCTGCGAGGAAAATAAAACCATGAATGAGACTGAGACAGGCCTTTTGCAGTGTTGAAAGGGGAAGGCGAGCTATAAACAGAGAATTCTAGGACAATGCAGTAGAGCAAGCCAAGGTCTGGCATCAGAGACCTGGTTCCGGCCCAAAGTTAGCTGTATCTTGGAGTCTGTTTCTGGCTCTGAAAACTGACGATTATAATAGTGTCTACTGATGATTCCATGAGTTTACACTAATAAGACCAGGAGCTATTATACCCGACAGGAGTTTGTGCTGGTGTGACTGGGGCCCACTGTGGGCCAGCCAGCCCACCCAGGGTGGGACTCAGCAGCTGTGCTCTGCTCTAGGTCTTGCCCTGGAAGTGGGGTGTGAGCTTCTGCCACATTCTCAACCTGCCCACACAAGGGACTTTGGCAATTCCTGTCCTCCATCCTTTGCTCTGCTCCTGACACACAAGCTTCCTCGGTATCCCTGGAGCCCACCTCTGTCTATCTCAACTGTCCCTCAATGGTCCCTAAGCGTATTCCCCCACTTCTTTCCAGTCTCCACCCCACCTCTCAGGGAGGCCTTCTTTGACTGAGGAGTCTGTTTAGCCATCTCAGACTGAAACAACAGCGTCCCCTTTTGCCCTCCAGCACCTCCATCTGCTCTCCTTTTCCTCCCTACCCTGCCTTACTTTTTTGCAAATTCACTTATCTACAATGTTGACTAGCACCTACCAGGTGCCAGGCACAGTTCTGGGTGCAGGGGATATCAGCAGTGAAAATATTTGTCTGCCTATTAGAACATAAGCTTTGGCCCTCCCTGGTGGCCCAACAGGTTAGGACACAGCACTGTAAGCTGGCTCCAACCAATTCAGTGAGAGTTCAATCCCTGGCCCTGGAGCTGACCCACATAGCACGGCGGACTTCTCCTGTCTCGCCTGCTGCTCCCCTCAGCAGTGTACTTCATTTATTTGCCTGTTCTGCTCAGTCTGCCTAGATTTGGCCATTCTGTCTCTGTGAATCCTCTCACCGCCCCTGCACCTCTGGCCTATACACCTGTTCTGCATGCATAAATAAATAAATCTTAAATAAAACAAAACAAAACATAAGCTTTATGGAGCAGACCCTTCTTCCCCAATACAATCTTACCAGGTCTGTATTGTTATCATGCCCACTTTATAGATGAAGAAACTGAAGTTCTGAGAGGAACAAGTGATCACACAGTAGGCCAGGTCAGTCGAACTCCTTCCTCAAACCCATGGGCTCTCAGGCAGCCCAGAGGCTGGTGAGAACTGAGTAGGAGTTCACCAAGTAAGAGCAGCTGGCCCTGCCCCCGTGACCAGGTCACCCTGGGCTCAGTCCTACTGAAACACATGAAGGTCCTCAGAGATCTCAGCTTTGCATTTTTCTGAGACTTTGTTCAGCCGTCATCCCTGATTTTCGCAAGGCTTGCCTTTTGGGCCTAACAGGCAACCCTGCTCCTTTGCCAAAGTCCAGTTTATTTCTCAGTGAAGCACACTGTGCCTCCTCTCCCCCTTGGGTGCAAAGTCTTGTAGCTCTGATCACAGTGGAGTTTGACTTTGTCTACTTTATCCCACCCCATTGAGCCCCCACTCCCTGCCATTGCCAGCCATTCTGTGGTGTGGCCAGTCAACCTCCAAGACACCCCCCCCCCCAATTATCCTTGTCTCCTGGCATTCACCCCCTCACATACAGTCCTCTCTCTTTGAACAGATCTATAGACGTGACCATTGTCATATCCCATGTAATACCCCGTGCACACAAATCAGCAACCCCAGATCTTATAAGGCATATAAATCTTTAAAGACATGCACTAAAAATATGGAAGTAGACCCTGCACAGTCAACACAATATTGAGGGAGAAGAACAAAACCAGGGGGCTGCCCCTCCCCAACTTCCAGACTTACTATACAGCTACAGTAAAGCCACAGGGTAGTACTGGAGAAAGAACAGAAAAATAGATCCATAGAGTATGTGTCACCAAGAGAGTAAGGCAGAAGCCACAGTGCCTAGCTTCTGAGTTGAGCTGATAAAGGCCTTGAGCTTCTGCTTTGTTCTCCTCGAATCACTGAGTCTTGAGACAGCACTTCTGTGCCTGGAGGACATTCAGGTTGCCCTGTGGAGGACTGTGGTCCCCAGTGTCCGGTCCCCAGCAATAGCCAGCACTGCCTTGCTCCTGGTTTGGGTGACCTTCTTGGATGTGGATCCTAATTACCTGACTCATGATGAGCTATGAACTATGAAAAACAACAAGGTAATAAAGGAAGATCAAGTTGCTCATAATTACTGGCTTCGTGGGCTCCTAAGTTCAGTACTTTTTTTATGCAACATCAGATTGCGAATGCAGACATGTGGCAGGGACCCAGAAGTGTCTGGGTCTATATTTTTGCTCCATCACACATGGCTTCCACCCTCTGCGTTGGCTCATGGACCAAAAAGGCTGCTGAAAATTTTGTCTGTCTTTCAACTGGCAAAGAAAAAGGCACTTCACCCAGGAAGGACACTTGATGGGAGTTAGAGCCTCACTCCTGTGCCTAATCTTGTCATTTGATGATATGTAATTGAAAAGAAGGCTGAGAAATGTGATCTTGGTATCTTGGTGGCCACAGACCCATCTGAACACTGGGTTTCTATTAGCAAAGAAGAGGGAAGAATTGATGATACCAGGAAACATCCAGGCTGCCTGCCCCTGGAGTCAGCTCTGGAGATAACGTGGTGTCACATGGTCCAGTTTGCAGATTCCCAAACTTGACTGCCTGGGTTCAATGCTGTCACTTACCAGCCATGTGATTTTGGAAAATTTACTGAGTTTCTCTGTGCCTGTAAAACAGAGTTCCTAGTAGAGCCTGCTACATAGGGTCGTGAGGATTAGATGAGTAGGATAGACCTGTTGAATTTGTAATAATTCTGGAGCATGGCCTGTGCTGTATGAATATGTTAGTTGTTATCATTATTTAATCTGCAAGGGGGTTTCTCTAGATCTCACCACCAGCAAGTGGTAAGAGCAGAATTTGGCTTATGGCAACTCTACATTGAAATTTTTTTTT